TATGACAGAATCATCTGATAACATTGAATAAGGTGGATAATGTCAAGGTCAGAGTCCAGATTCCCTCCTCAATTTAGGAAGATCAGAGGCATGGAAAAGAATTAGCAGGTACACACCAGTGCAGACAGTTTGTTAGGGAAAGGGAAGAGTAGACTAGAATTCTGAGCCAGCAGTGGGTCAGGGCAACCCAGGCATGTTGGTAGATGGATGGCAAGGGCTAGTAGTTTTTTTGTTTTGTTTTGTTTTGTTTTTGTTTTTGTTTTTGTTTAGGGGGTGGACTAGACAGAGTCTCACTATGTAGTTCAGACTGGCCTTGAACTCACTATATAGTCCAGGCTAGCCTTAAACTCTCGGCAATCGTCCTACCTCAGCCTCCCAAGTGCTGAGATTACAGGTGTGAGTCACCATGCCCGTCAAGGGCTAGTGTTGATGTAGTTATCGCCATGGTCCCACAGGCAAGTCCTTTAGTGAACACAGGTGCCATGCAGGCAGGGCCTCCCGAGGGCTGTGCTCTCACAGGGCTCCTCCAGGCCAAGAGGGCAGAGGTGAGCATGGGCCTCCTACCCTACCTGTGCCCTCCCCTGGAAACTGTGGATCACACACTCCCCCACCACCAACTTCAGGCTATATCTGCACCCCACCACATTCACTCACCCCTTAGCACAGATACACATATAGTAGTAAGATGTCTGCTCTGTTTCAGCGCTGGAGCAGGACGGACCGGGACCTTCTGTGCCTTGAGCACAGTCCTGGAGCGCGTGAAGGCAGAGGGAATTTTGGACGTCTTCCAGACTGTCAAGAGTCTTCGACTGCAGAGGCCACACATGGTCCAGACACTGGTATGCTGTCTATGTCCTTGTCTTTGCCATCACCATCTGCAATCTTTCTCCATCAGGGAGGCCTTCAGAGAGCACGCCCAGTAGTCAGAAGACTGACTGACCACAGACCCACCTTTTCCTGAGGTGCCCGAGACAGACAAGTACCTTGGGAGGCAGGAAGGGACCCAGTGGGAGGATAGCCTGTGTCACCAAGGGAGATATGACAAGTTAGAAAGGGTTGCCACCTCTTTTTTGTTTGGATGTAAAGGAGAGGGCAGGAAGTCTTGCCCTTAGTCTATTCAACTCCCTGCTAAGAGATCTGACTCTAGAGTCTGGACATCCACAAAGGTTTTCCTGAATCCTGTGTGACTAGAAACGTTTGAGAAGCTCAATTTTAGGAGGTTTGGCAAAAGATTGAGGCTTTGAGAACCAGAACGCATCCTAACCTGGCAGCCATGGTTAGGGCTGGGCCACACCCCAGATGCCCCATTTCCCAGTCCAGCACACTGAGGGCTGACCCTTGCAGGACCTAGGACTGTCCTTGTCAGTCCAGCCAGCTCTGCAGAAGATCTGCTGCACTCAGCAGAACTGTCAGGACTCTGGCAGACAGTGGATTCTGCAGACATTGATTTCCTCAGTAACCTTGGCTTTCTTCCTGGCCTCTGCTCTCCAGGAACAGTACGAGTTCTGCTACAAGGTGGTGCAGGAGTACATTGACGCCTTCTCAGACTATGCCAACTTCAAGTGACAGGCGATAAGCCCCATGGACAGGAGAATTGCCTTTAATATTTTGTAATATTCTGTTTTGTTAATATACCCAAAATTGTGTATATATCTTATAACTGTTTTAGAAATTGGTACATAGGCTTCTATTACCTGTTAGGTGGAGATTTTATATGTAAATGTGTTAGCACTGATAGTCCTTTTTCCAATGTTTTATTGGGGAATTAAATAGTGTGATGTTTGGATTGATATCGTGAAATCCTCAGCCTGGAAATTGGGCTGAATTGTTCTTTGGTTTAAACATCTTTTCCTAAAGAAGGTAAATACAAAACCCATTCCACATGGCTCGGTACCAACTAAGAAAAAAAAGCACAAAAGTTCTCAGAGTTCCTGAGGAAATGGTTGTCCCAGTATCCCCATGCAGGCCTCTGTTTCCTCCCTGCACTGTAAATATCCCTCCCCTCCCTGGCCCATGTGCTTCTCCCATTGCCTACATCCCAGCAGCCCCCCGTGGGGAGTAATGGGACCAGAGCGGTATCTCTGGCACCACACTAGGGATTATCAGATAATAAAAGTTTTGACTCCCTGAGGAAATGTCTCTCCCTTTGTCTGGGGTGGGCCAGCCAGACAGGGCTTCAGCTCTTCTAGACCACTCTTGGCCCTACTGTTGCTGCTGTCTCTGGGTTTCCTGGCTCTTCCTCAAGCACAGCCCCTCTATCTCTGCATATTCCCCAGGCTCCTCGTCTTTATCAGCACATCTTTGGTGCAGTGGTCCCAGCCAGCCTCACTCACTGGAAACAGAGTGAGGATCCACTAAGGGCCACTGGAGAAAAAGAAGCCAGCTTGGCCTTGGGGCTGAGGCCAGTCTGACCTCTCCAGTCCTTGGTGCTTAGCTCCAAAGCCATCTAGATTGTATCACTGTCCAGAATAAGTCTTTCTATCCACACTGATTGGTTCAGTAGCCTCCCTTTCCTTCCATATGTGTCCTCAATTCCAGGACTTTTATGTGAAGTCTCACAGATCTAAATGCTAACATAATGAATCTTAGATCTCTACTCAGTGGGAGTCTTAAATCCCAGCTTGGTCTCAAGCCTGACATGTTTGACAGAAACCTTGAACTTTTGTGTCCTAAGGAATCTGGATGTTCATTTATTTCTAATATAATACTCTGCTGGTCCTAGAGTCCCAGCATCCTTTCACCTCCCGTCCTAGGTTCCCCAAGATGAAATTCTCATCCTCATGGTGGGAGTTTGATCACTGCTGTGTCCATATTCCATCCTAGCATGGGGAAAGAGCACAGAAAGCAGTTTCATTTTGGGGGACTTTTTAAGTTGTACTTTTCCTTTCCACTCATACACCACTGGTTAAAACCTAATCCTATGGCTACATATGACTACAGGGTTGCTGAGCAGTGTGGCCTTCTGCTGGGGCACAGCTGGGAGGATGAATCTGCTCACCACTCATAGCCTCATGAGCAGCTTGTCATAGGAGCAGAAGGTCGGCTGGAGGGCAGGCAGAAGGAGCCTGTGGCCTTGAGCCTTTCTTAAGAGTTAGAGCAGGCCATGCACTCATCAGCTTCAGGAGTGAGGGGTGCCACCCCAGGCTGGCCCATGGAGGCACACTCACAGGTCACTGCAGCTAAGCTGCTTGGAGAATGTGGGACTTGAACTGGACCCAAGGGATGCTGGAAATTTAGATGAGTACAAAGGAGGGAAGGTCAAGTGGAATTGCACTGCAAAGGACCTCTGAGTCCAGGGGATACAGTCATCATCTCGTGGCTCCAAGAGGGCATCCTGGTGGTGCATCACATACTCAAGATGAATGTGTGAAGGGAGGGATGTGTGGTAAAGAACCCTGCGGCAGCAGGGGCACAATGACATACCACCTGTGGAAGCTTCAAGAGGTGTGTGCAGGTCATCACAGCTACTCACAGGGGAGGCTGAGGCAGAGGGATCATTTGAGCCCAGGAGTTTGAGGCAACCTGAGCAATGTAGGGAGACCCTGCCTTTAAAATATACATGGGTATAGGGTCAGGGATGTAGCTCAGTGGTGCCATGCCTGCCTTGTAAGTGCAAGGTCCTGAGTTTGATCCCAGTACCAAAAAAAAAAATGCATAGGTATAGAAACAAATGAGCAAATGAATGAATTTAAATACAGTGGTACCTCAATTCACAAACTTAATTCGTTCCACAATTCTGGGGAAGATGGCCGCATTCGTGTTTGTCACCCAATGTGGAGTTCGTTAACAAACACAAAATTTTGCCAAATGCTTCTGTTTATTAACCAAATTATTCATGAACAGAAGTGTTTGTGAACTGGGTATTACTGTAATTTAAAATTAAGGGCAGGGCTGGGGATTTAGCTCAGTGGTTCCGCCACCTGAGTTTGATCCCTGGTACCAAAAAAAAATTTAAGGGCAGTGGAAGATAACAGATCAGTGGTGGAGCACTTGCCTGGCATGGATGAGGCCCAGGGTTCAATCCCCAGCACGTATCCACAAAAAAAAAAAGCAAAATTCCCCCCAAATTAAGGGCTCAGCATGTAACTCAGTGGTAGGATTGCCTAGCATGCATGAAACTGTGTTCAGTATCTCAGTACCCACCAAAAAAAAAAAAAAAAAAAAGGTGAGTACAAGTCATTAGAGGCATTCAGTACTTCAATAGGAACTAATGAATTCCAAGGGACAGTTCACTCAAAACCCAGCAGTTCTCAAAGAAGCCTGATAAAGTAAACAAAGAATCAGGAATTTCCAGTGAGGGATGTTGTGTTTAGGGAGGCGTCCCTGTCTTCTTGGTTAGCATACTCCCAGTGAACACACAGCTGAGGCTGTCCCACATCTCTCACATCCCAGTGCTGCCTCCTCACTGCCCAGCAAGCTGCTCACTTGTTGCCAAGGCTGCCTTGGGCAGGATATTCCGATGCGGCCTGGCCAGGTTTCTGCTGCACCAATATTCCAGTTGTTACCTAATTCCTAGGCACATGTCTTCCAGGATGAATTATTAGCTCAGCTCTTTTCTCCCCTTCCATTAGAAGTAAACCTCATCCCTTCATCCCTCCTTCATTTCTTTCTTACTCAGGGCTTGTGCATGATTGCAAGACAGGTAAATCCAAAAAGAACCAGTGTAGAATCAAAGAAAAAAAATGCCCTGGACCCACACAGCACAATCCTGTGGGAAGAGCAAGGGTGACCACCTCATCCAGTTCCCACCCCATAGCCAAGCAGGTGTATTTCCCAGGGGTTAGGTGAGCGAGCATCTCGAAGGGAAGAGTGGCAGCCTATGCCCATTATACACCCAAAGCTCTAGGTCCATTCTCAGAGATCTCACTTCAAGTAAGTTCCCTTCTGGGTTTCATTTTTATTCATTCATTATCAACCCCAGAACACGTTTCCCTCAGAGCCTAAGTTCTTCCCCCTTTATGACAGATGTAAAAAAGTCTGTACCCTTCACTCTTTCCTCCTTTTTTTTTTTTTTTTTTTTTTGTACTAGGAATTGAACTCAGAGCTTCGCACTTGACAGGCAAGCGCTGCACCACTAAGCTACATCCCCAGCCCTCCTTCCTCTCTTGTTTCATTCCCACACATGAGGTCTTACTTTGCCATCACTGGGACAAAATACTTGACACCCAAACTTAAAAGAGAAGATGTTTACTTTGGCTCATGGTTTCAGTTCATGGTCGGCTGGCTCCAAGGAAGAAACAGCATGGCAAAAGGGCGTGGTGGAGGAGAAGGTGCTCAACCTGTGGCAGCCAGGAAGCAAGACAGTGAAGGGAGGAGATGAGCAAGAATGCACTGGTCCAGGTCACACCTGCCAGTGACCCACATCCAACCAGGCCTCACCTCCTAACAGCACATTCAGCTATGGACTTGTGGACAGATGAATCCACTAAGGAGTATAGCACCCCCATGATCCAGTCACCTAGAAACACACATGAGACTTTAGGGGGACATTTTAGATCTAAACCGTAACACATGCCTTTCACCTGAGCTTGCCAGGATTTCCAGGGATCCATTGCTTCCAGTCCACTAACTCTCCCCTGGTGTTAGTGATTCTACAGACTTACCTCACTTTGAGGGCCTGGGCTGTCTGGACCTTCAGCTCTCCTCCACCCTTTCCCTCCTCCAGCCTTTCCTGCTGAGTGACTCAGTTTTCCAGAGGCACATGTCTCTAATCCCTCAGCCCAGGCTGTCCTCAATCCTTTGGGTTCCACCTGTCCAATGTACTCCACCCCACCACACTGCACTCACAAATCACCGGCAGCTCTTCATTTTGCTTTCTCATCAGCACACCCCACTGTACCCTCCCACGAGGCTTCCATCTCTCCAGCTAACTCGTCTTCAGCATCAGGGTTTGTACACATCTATCTCTAACTATAGCTGGGTACTCAGCTCTAACCCTCTGCTTTGCCAGCTGGCTATGAGCAATGCCCAGCTGCAGTGATGTTTTATCCTCAGAACCAGGCATCGGTTGGAAGTCAATGGTGAACGACTATCTTTCCTGTTCTGCTGAGATAATGAGGAAAAATTTCCAGAGTTGGTAATTTGGAAGGAATATCAGCCAGTCACCTGAAAAGCTACATATAGTACCAAAAAGAAAGGAACCAGAACTTTCCCTGGGAAGCTTAATTACTCTGGTTTGGATTTTTTCAAGAAAAACCATAATCAAATTACAGAAAAAAAAAAAAAAGGCATCCTATTCCTCTTTCAAAATAAATATCAGGGAGGTAGGGGTGTAGCTTAGTAGTAGAATGCTTGCCCAAAATCCATGAGGTGCCCAGAGTTGAATCCCCAGCACTCAGGAGGCTAAGGCAGGAGGATCGCCACAGGATTAAGGCCAACCTGAGCTACAAAGTTCCAGGCCAGTGTGAAGACCTATGGTCTCACTGCATAGTGAGAACCTGTCTCAAAACAAAACACTAGGTTATTTTGAAACATTCTGTAAACCCAACCTAGAACAAAGCTAGGTGATTGAACTCAAAGAGGTGTTTGCTTGTTTGTTTTGCAGTGCTGGGGGTCAAACCCAAGGCCTTGTACATGCTAAGCAAATGCTCTACCACATCCCCACCCTTTTTTCTTTTATTTGAAATAGGCTCTTGCTATTGGTACTGGGTTGTGGGCTGCTGGAATCTCCCTCTAGAGGTGGTTTCTAGGTTCTTTCTGTCCTGAGCAAAGAACTGGTCAAAACAAGTGCAAATGGTAGCAAGGTTTTCTATTTCTTTTTTTTTTTTTTGGTACCGAGGATCAAACTTGGGACCTTGCACTTAGGAGGCAGGCGCTGGCACCACTGAGCTAAATCCCTGGCCCTCCATTTCTTAAAAATAGGAAGAGGGGCCGGGGATTTAGCTCAGTGGTGCCGCCGCCTGCCTCCTAAGTGCAAGGTCCCAAGTTTGATTCCTGATACAAAAAAAAAAAAGATAGGAAAAGAAACAGGCTCTGCAGAGTGAATTTGGGCCAAGTAACAGAAAAATAAGTACACTTGGTAAGAAGAGTGTGAACAGGGCCAGGGATTTAGCTCAGCAGCACTCTGCGCCTGCTTCATAAGCACAAGGTCCTGAGTTCAATCCCCAGTACCAAAAAAAAAAACCTGCCTTGTTCCAGCGAGAAGCCCATGTGCAGGTGCAGGGCTTTGGGAGGTGTTATGCACATTTGTCCTGGGATTTTGTAATTAACAGGTCATGCCTAGTTTCCTAGCTAGTCTTTGCCACACCCTAGTCTCCTGCCTCACTGTGTTGCCCAGGCTGACCTCAAACTCGTGGCACTCTTGTCTCAGCCTCCTGAGTAGCTGGGATTACAGGTATGCACCTCTGTGTCTGGTTTCAAAGGGCTGTTTTTTTCAAATAAATGAAATTATATTTTATTCAAGATTATAGTCTTTTAAAATAGCAAAACATTTATTGGTACATTTTTGGGGGGGTATTGAGACACTCTTTCTTTGCAGTTCAGGCTGACCTTGAACTACTCTGTAGCTGAGGCTGGCCTCGAACTTGCATCGATCCTCCTGCCTCAGCCTCCTGAGTGCTAAGATTACAGGCATGTGCCACCACACCTCACTGGTACATTTTTTTTTTTTGAGACAGGGTCTGTTGTTACATTTTAGACATACATAATGATAACACTCATCACAGGGAATTTGCACATGTGCACAGTACCTCCTGCCTCTTTTTTTCCCATTCTCCCCCTCCCCTCAAACTCCTCTCCCTTCTCTGTGTACAAAAGCCTTGTTTCCATTTTTTCCTTCTATTTTCACTTTTTTCTTTTCCCTTCCTTTCTCCCTCCCTCCTCCTTTATTCCCCTTCCAAAGGGCTTTTTTTCTTTTTTTTGGTACTGCGGATCGAACTCAGGTCCTTGCGCTTGTACAGCAGGCGGTGAAATCACTGAGCTAAATCCCCAGCCCCAAAGGGCTATTTTTAATAAACTACAAAGCAAATATTTTTCTAAAAATCAGTTTACAAAATCTATGTATTTCCCAAAACAATTTAACTGAACATACAGTTCTCACATTCATTTCAAGCCTTTGCTAATACGTCAATTTGGAAAATCACAGCTGGAACCCGGGTGCCCAGGACTGTCCATGGTGCCTGCTATGAGCTCGCTCCCCATCTTTGTCACAGGATTTGACAAATCTGTTTGGACAATGACTCTGTTCACCAGGAGGCCAAGCCTGACCCTGGCTCTCACATTTGCTGTTGAACTCAAATGCCAATTGGCTATTAACCCTGTAAACAGGTCTCTGACCCCTAGAGGCTGGTGGCTGGCGGTGGAAAGCTGAGCTACTAATGCAGACTGGGAGGCGAGGGCCTCTTGCCAGCAATGCAGCCTAGCTCTGTTGAAATCCACGAATGATCTTGGTGCACGTGGGATGAAAAAGGCATTTAAGCCTGGGAGACAAATTTACTTACTATTGATAGCCCCAGAGAGACTGCAGGTCCTCTCAGCTGGTCCCTACTCCGGGGCCTGCTTGGAGGGAAGAAAGCCCAACCCTGGATAGGCCACCCAAACCCACCTCTACTTGGTGTGACCCAGCCCTGTGCCAGATGTGTGGACACAAACCCTTCTACCTGCCCATTTTAACGGGTGAACACATTTAGCCTTCAGAAATATGATCACAAATTTTGGGTCAGGGAGGGATTTATAGGCCTCAAGGGCAGGAGCTTGAGGATGCAGCCTGGGAAGTGGAAGATGAGACCAGGACATGGACCAGTCTGGAGCAGGAGTCCTGTGACTTCTGATAACCAAGAAATCATAAACAAGGTGAAAATAAAAGTAAAGATAGTTTTATTCAAGCACAGAATAGATCTGCAAATTGGGTTCAATGAGACTGAACCAGTTTAGTGAGACTGAACCAGTGTCCTGCCTTCAGGAAGCAGGCTGGGCTTTTAGAACAAGAAGGAAGCATGTGCAGTTTAGCCTTCTTTGGAAGAGAGAAATAGGACTAAGGCTAAGTTTGGTGCAAATTAGGCTGGTCATAAGTTTTGTAAGTCCACTGCAATGTCCAGGTCAGGAGGCAAAACTGGGCAGTCTCAAACCTTGCAAGGTATTGTTAGGATTTCCAAAGTGTTCCCTCTTATGGATTCAGTTCCCAGCATGATGTCCTTGTGGCAGTTTACCCCTTCAGTAAAGCTCTAAGGCTTGGAAAAGAAACTGCTCTTCTTTGGACCATTCTACAGCCATTGTTCATACTTCAGGTCCCTAGGAAGATGGGGAAGGGAGGCGGGGCATGTCTGGTGACTGTAGAGCCAGGGGTGGCCCAGGGTATGTTCATGAAATAGATACGAGATGGGGTGGGGTGGCAAGCTGCTCCCCGCATCTTCAAGACGTCACTGGAGTCTGTGGGCCAGAGCAGAGAGGGTGGAGCTACCTGGACAATAAATCCCAGGGCTGCTGGCTTAGGTCCTGCAGCTGCCAAAGGAGTCGCCTCTACCACAGCTGTCCTGGTGAGTTGGGGGGCTGCCCTCCCTCAGGTGTCCTGGATGGAGCTCCAGCCTGGATGTGTGGCACACTGTTCCTTTCCCCCTCCTGAGCCCCTCCACCCTTGAGCCATTCCTAGAAAAGAAGCCCCTTTGCCCACTGCTCCCCCAGCAATGCTATGTGTTGCTGTGGTTGCCACCCTGGCATGGGAGGAACAAGGGATGGGACCACTTGCTCCCATCACCATCACACATCTGTTCCACACCTCCAGCTACCACAGAAGGGAGATGACAGAGCAGAGCCCGCCACTCTAGTGCCCTAGCACCAGGTGCTCCAAATGTTCCCCTGGAGTACCTTCCCCTCACCCAGCCAGCATCCCTCAGGGTCTGAATCCCTGTAGGCCTAGGATGAGAAGTGGCTGAAAGGGAAAGGTGTTGGGAGACACTAAAGCTGCCTGAAATGCTGGTTGACCCGGGTGACCCTGGACAGAGGAAGGGGTGTATGTGGAAGTATCAGGGTCCTTGAGTTCTGCCCACTGTCCTTGAGAGCAGCCCTGCCATGGCCAGCTCTAGGCTCAGCCTCCTGCTGCTGCTGCTGCTGCTGTTGCTACTGTTGCTGCTACTAACCACCTACCCTGGACCGTTGAGGGCTCAGTACTGGTCCCATGGCTGGTACCCTGGAGGAAAGCGAGCCTACAGCTCATCCCAGGATTCCCAGAATGTTCCCAGGCTCTCAGGTGGGTAATGGGTCTCCCAGCCTGGGTGGGAGGAAGACCATGCTGGCTGCGGCTCCTCTACATACCTGGGCCTGGGAGTGGAGGCAGATGGGTGCCTCTGTTCCCTTCTGAGGAAGAATACTGGGCACTGCAGCGGGCAGCCTTGCTCAAGCTGCCCACAGACTCCCAAGTAAGGACCTGGCTCCCTCTGAGGACACTGTGCCCTGGGAGGGCAGAAGCATGTTTCGGTGGACTCTTCACAGGAAACAGCATCTGGTGTAAATACTACCTGTGAGTGGGGTGAGAGGACCCCACATTCAAGACCAGCCACTGGTCCCCAGTGGCCATGCTACTGAAGAATTGCGTAGAGTGTAAAACACCACTGGGATGCTCCCTGCTCCAGCACTCCCAGCTGTTTCTCTAGTTACTGGTGGAGCAGGAGAGAAGTGTACTAAAAATCTACATAAATAAGACAGTGGCAGCTGTGGAGTCCCCCAGTTTCTTGACAAGCCAATCTCAAGGTGGGCAGTGATAAGAGCGGAGGGGTGTCCCCCCATACAAACAGGCGGTGGGGCTCAAAGGCCCAAGTGGTCACTGGCACAGGCATGCAGAACAATTCTGCAGAGCTCCCCAAGACCACAGCAGAAGGTGGGCGTGAGTTTATTACTAATTTTTGCACATGGAATATATTTAAAGTTAAGGGAAGCACCTTAGTAACTAAAGGAAGATGTGGACGATCCTAGAGGCAAAGCTCTGTGGCCTAATTTAAGTTCGGGGTTGTTTAGAGTGGAATGGCCGTCTGCCCAGGTAGCTGGAGATCCTCATGCTGGGTCCTCAGGCGCCTGCGGGAGAGGGGCTCCCGAGCTACGTGACGGCCTGCGACGAACAGGAAAGGACAGGAGGGAAGGGCGCAGTTTGGCGTCACTGGACCGGAGAATCCCACAGCGTGACCTTTCCTCTCCCTCCGTAGATCACAGCCCAGCGACGTGTTCCGCGGATCTTCAATAAAAGCGTGAGGTCCACGGTGCTGTTGCTTCGAATTGTCTTCTTCTTTCGTTCCCTCCTTCCACCATCCGCGTTGAGACGACCCTTAAGGGAGCGGAAGGGTCTCGGGCTCAGCCCCGCTGGTAGGAGGGACTTCGGAAGGTGGCAGCGCACGAGCTCTGCCCCCACAGGGGAGGGACCGGACCCGAGGACTACAGGTCCCATGGTGCCCCGCGACCGCTTCTGGGTCGGGCTGGAGCGAGCGGCGCGGGAGGTGAGACGCAGACGCGGTCATGCACCTCGCGCTGAGTGCCCTCCGCGCTGGACCTCCGTGCCGGCCTCTTGCAGTGCTGCTGATACCGGCGCGCGGCCGCAAGACGCGCCACGACCCGCCGGCCAAGTCCAAGGTCGGCCGCGTGAACACGCCGCCCGCTGTGGACCCTGCGGAATTCTTCGTGCTGGCGGAGCGTTATCGGCTGTACCGCCAGACCGTGCGCGCCCTCAGGTGCGTGTAGAGGCGGGCCTGGCGGCGCCCTCGGGGATGGGGCCGAGCGGGAGGCAGGGTGCTGACTGGGAGAGCGTCCTGCCCAGGCTGGAGTTCATGGCGGAGGTGCGGAAGCAGCAGTACGAGGCCCGTGCCGGCGTCTTGGCGGAGCGCAAGGCACGGGAAGAAGCGGCCAAACACCAGGAGCTGATGGCCTGGAACCGGGCGGAGAACCAGCGACTGCTTGAGCTGCGGTGCGCGGGGCGGGCGGGGCCTCTCTTCCCAGTCGGCCTAGGGGTAGGCGGGCCCCCCTCCCCGGGCGGCCTAGGGGTGGGCGGGGCCCCCCTTAGCCTCGCCCATTGCCCCTCAGGATCTCGAGGCTGCAGCAGGAAGCGCGCGAGCTGGAGCAGCAGCACGCGGAGGAGCAGGCGCGCCGGGCACTGGAGGAGCAGGCCTGGGTGCGACTGAGGGAGCAGGAAGTGCAGCAGCTACAGGTGGGCCGCAGCGGAGCACAGGGGTTGAGAGCTGTCCAGGGCTTGGGGAAGAAGGGACGCGAGGGGGCTGTGTGCGCCGAGATCCGTGGTGAGAGTGGATATGGGAACCTGTTCAGACACCTAGCAGGTGGTAGGCCCATGTTTGCGAGACCCCGCAATACACAGAAGAGTGTTTGACCTTGCAGGTTATTGAAAGGTTGACTATGTTAGAAAGGGTTAGCAGGTTGAGATGTAATTCAGGAACAGTGGATGAGGCTTAGAGGGGAGAAAACCAGTTGGAAAGTGTTTTAAGGGTGGACCAGGGCCGGGGCATAGTGGCCTGTGCCTGTAATCCCAGAACTCAGGAAGCTGAGGCAGAAGGATCACTGCGAGTTTGAGGCTATCCTAGGCTACAAGGAGAGTTCAAGGCCTGCCAGAACCTCATAGTGAGCCCTTGTCTCAAAAAATAAAAGTGAGCCAGATAGCATTTAGGGACTGAGACTACAAGGTTGTCACAGCTAGTGCTTAGGATTCTAAGTGTCCAGAGAATGATTGTCTCAGAAAGAGTACTCTAGTAAGGCCTCCTGATGTTGGGGGCATAGAGGCCTTGGTCTGCAGACAGCTTTCCCTGGGGGGCAGCTGGAGCCTGAGGGAGGGGTTAGATTGCAGCAGGTTCTGCAGGCTGCCTGTTTTTGTATGGGGCTCCCATGCAGCCGGCCTTTTTTTTTTTTTTTGCCATAGGAGGAGGCAAAAAACTTTATCACCCGAGAGAACCTGGAAGCGAGGGTGGAAGAAGCATTGAACTCCTCAAAGAACTACAACTGGGCCATCACCAGACAGGGTCTGGTGGTCAGGCCGCAGTAGAAGGGCTCCTAAGGGCCCAGAAGGGACAGTACCTGCCAAAGGAGCCTGTGTACAGGGCGTTGGAGGGCTGGTTCTGATCTATGATAAAGCAGTTGGTATTTCCTACACAGAAGGCTCAGCCTTTTCCAGAACAGCGCTCATGTTCTGGCCTCTGCCCCATGTCAACCTCAGGACAGCACCAGGCCATCTTCACAGAGGGACAAACTGGGCCACAATCTCCTTGGGCAGCCAGGCCATCTTCTGAGTATCATAAAGGGCAGTGGTTAGCAAATTACAGTCCTTGAGCTAAATGTGGCCGGCTGCTTGTTTTTGTTAATAAAGTTTTATTGAAACACAGCGTTGCTCATCTGTTGACTCCTTTTATACTACTACAGTGACAGATGAATAGTTACAGCAGAGATGGGATGACTTACAAAATGTAAAATATTTGTTACATGACTTTTTTTTTTTTTTGGGTGCCAGGGATCGAACTCCAGTCCTTGCGCTTGTGCAGCAGGCTGTGAAACCACTGAGCTAAATCCCCAGCCCTGTTATATGATTTTTTAAAGAAAAGTTGGCTAGTTCCTAATTTGAGGCTTTGGGCCAGGGCGGGGTGTCACCTGTACCCGAGCCATAAGCTGACCATTGGCTGAGGCCTGCTTTTGCTTAGTCCTGAACTTTTCTGGCCAGGAGATGGTATGGCCAAGACCCAGAAGGCAAAGGGAAGGCCCCATTTCTCCATGTAACTGTCTATGGCTTTCATGACCTACATCTGATTTGCACCCCCAACACTCAGTACAAGCTCCAGATTCCTGCTGGTGGGGAAGGCCTGGTTGGCCACACTTTACAAGGACAGAATCCATTTTTCCCATTACTCTTACCTCCTAGACAGGGCCTGGGGATCTCCAAGAAGTGAGTTCTTTTTATGGGATATGGGCAATCATGTTCCAGGCAAGGAAATGGGTGTCAAGTTGCAAGTAGAGGTGCCCTGTACCCAGCCCAGTCAATGAGCTGCATCCCTGAAAGCCACAGCCCCTCCTCAGGCTGGTTTTAGCTCTTCCCTCTCCTGGCACTGATTCTGGTCAGCACAGTGGGATCCCTGCTTTGGGTGCCCAGAGTAGCTTCTGGGGTGGCGGCTGGTGGGCATACATGGGCCATGGTTTGCCAACTTAGTCCACAGCTTCAGGCTTTATTGTGAGAAGTGAATCCCCTGCAGCGGAAGCCTGTGGTGAACTTTCACATGAGATGTGGTCACTTGTAGCATGTTCCCAACGTGGGGTCATAAATTGCATCTTGCTGCTGGGCGACTTATTTAAACATGGTTACATTCCTACCAGCTTAAACCACTGGTGGTATATGCATGATTGACTCATCCGGTGGCTTTTTATTAATCTTATTAGTAAAAAGACTTAAAATGATTCGATCATCACAAGCACAAGGTCTCAAGTTCTATCCCCCGTACCAAAAAAAAAAATTTCGATCAGTTTGTACCACTCAGCACTTGGCACAATGGAACAGTCATGCATGTGTTCAAGGCAGCAGGAATGTGTTAATGAACTGTTTGTTTTGAGACAGGGTCTCACTATGTAGTTCAGGGTGACCTCAAACTTGTGGCAATCCTCTTGCCTCAGCCTCCCGAATGCTAGAATTACAGGTGTGTGGCACCATGCCCGGCGAACAGTGAACTTCTGAACCTCCCGGTGAACAATGAACTTCTGAACCTCCTCATCACTATTTTCCAGTTGCATCTCTCCCAAGTTGGCTACACCAGGATCCAGACAGATGCCAACAGTCTCTTCACATAAAAGACAATGTAGTACCTTCTTTGGGCTGGTTTTCCTTCTGGGCCATCCTCTATCCTCCATGAGACATTACCTTGGTATACGTCATCTGCTGATGTCAGTACACCACAGAGATTGCCTGTAAACCTGGCTTCAGCACTTTTGCTCTTCACCCACAGTCATCCTCCCAGTGTAGGAACAAGTAGGCAGCTCACTTTCAGGGTTAACTCAAGCCCAGTCCCCTGGGCCGAGTTCCTCATGGACCAGACAGGACTGCAAGGTGCTGGGTAGGTTGTCAGTTCCTGCCCAGTCCAGGCTGCAGTACTGTGGGATTCCCATGGTAGTGTCTAATCTCTAGCAGAGCCCTGGATAGTTAACCTGACAGTTCATCAGGAACACAGGGAGTCTCATTTTTGCTTCAGGTTTCAAATATTTGGAAATCTATGTGCTCTGTAGGCTTGTGGGGGCTGCAGTTGCCAGAATCACACTTTGGGCAGCCCAGTCTACCTAGGGAATCTCTTGTTCAAGGCCCCACTGTAGGTGGTAGATTAGGGGGCTGTCCAGTAAATGCATTTGGAAAACACCCAAAAGTGAGTGCTTTCATAAGACTTGAAGCTGACTGCTTGGTGCCTGGGGGTTGAACACAAATGCAGTTGGTGTTTTCATTTAGGAGACAGGAGTTTTGCTGAGTGGGCAGTAATCTCCAATCACACACAGACGTTTTAGTGAAACATTTGATTCTTCAGGGGATGGTTTTTTGTTGTTGTTTTTTTTTGGTTTTTTTGAGGCAGGGTCCCCCTTTGTAGTTCAGGCTGTCGCTGAACTCAATACAGAGCCCAGGCTGGCCTCAAACTCAGTGATCCTCCTGCCTCAGCCTCCCCAGTGCTGGGATTACAGGCATGCGCCACCACACCCAGTGATGTTTTGTTGTTTTGAGACAAGGTCTCACTGCGTGGTTCAGCCTGGCCTTGAACAAATTATGTAGTCCAGGCTGGCCTTGAACCAAGAGATCTTTCCACCTCAGCCTCCCAAGTGCTGGGATTGTAGGCATGTGCTACCATACCCAACTAGATTCTTATGCCTTCCAGCTCTCCAGGCTAAGCAGCATTAGGTCAGTGAGATCCACTGCCATGAAGTCCTGTGGATGGAGGGTGTCAGGGTCTTGCAAAACTGCAGAGTTGTCATCTCTTAGGCTGGACGTAAAGATGCCATTTTCCTGCCAGGTGAAGATAGACTTCACCTGTAGTGTTGGAGTGGATTGAAAAGAAAAGAATGCATTTGCTGGATTAATACCTGCTGGGTGCCTCCTTAATCTGTTCCACCCAGAAGACCCCACCAGGTCTGATTAGTCATTCCTCATATTTTTCCAGTGACAACATATTTTCTGCATGCAGCTCAGGTATCCAATAATTCCTGAAATCTTTGGGAACATTCCCTGTGAATTTATAAGTGCAGAGTTGAAACACACAGGAAGTAAGCCCAGTTGACTGCCAAAATAAGGGCAACCTAACTCTAAGCATAACATATCATCAGCTTGTTTTTTACCTTGAAAAACATTTTGATACTTACTTTTTTTTTAAGCAAGCTTTTAACAAGGGCTGGGGATTTAGCTCAGTGGGCCCACACCTGCCTCACAAGCACAAGGTCCTGAGTTTGATCCCCATTACCCCCTAAAAAAGGTAACAGGGTCCTGCCGTGTAGTTCAGGCTGGCCTTGAACTCACTATGTATCCTAGGCTGGTGTTGAACTCACAGTGATCCTCCTGCCTCAGCCTCCCGAGTGCCAGGATTATAGACATAGGCCACTGATACAGGGCACCAAGTAATCCAAAATTATATAGGGCAGCAAGTAATCCACATAAGCAAAAATAATCCAAATAAAGGAAATACAACTCCCAACCTGCTAGATATCCAAAACGTGAGTTCATGTTCTCTAAAATCAAACAATGAATTCTAGGAACAATGGAGGTTAAGAGTAGGAAAACTTTTATTGAGAGAAAGCTCTGTTTTGAGAAAGAAAAGGGGGACTGGAAAGTGGGTTGCCCATCCACCCCACTTTTCAAAGTTATTTTTACTTTTTTTTTTTTTTTTTGGTACCGGGGATTGAACTTGGGACCTTGTGCTTTCCAGGCAGGTGGCAGAACCACTGAGCTAAATCCCCGGCCCTCAAATTTTATTTTATTTTATTTTATTTTATTTTATTTTATTTCATTTCATTTTTATTTTCAAAGTTATTTTAGGGCAAAGCCACGAGATGAGGTAGTATAAAACTGTAAGACCCAATGGGAAATTACAAGGTGGGCATGAGGTGGGACAAAACCGTGGTCAACCAATAAGACTGTAAATACAGTCACCAAGTAATGTTGATTAAACGGGGATCAAATGAGAAATTAAGTCATGTACAAGAAATTTCCTGAAGGGAAATGGGCTAGGGAGATTGATGCCTATTTAGAATATTAATCACTTGTATTTATCCCCAGGGGAAGTAGGTGGGTGTAGTACCTCTTTTTATAATGCTAACCAGTGAGTGAGCCTCAGTTGTCTTTCCTATTGACTCCCCAAGGTCCTGTCCTGTCTACAATACCACCCTGTTTAACATTTAAGATACTCTCAAATATAATTGTGTCTTAGAAAAATATAGTTTAATTCCAACTTTTTTTTTTTGGTACCGGGGATCGAACTCGGTTCCTTGTGCTTGCATAGCAGGCAGTGAAACCACTGAGCTAAATCCCTGGCCCCAACCTAATTCCAACTTTTAACGGTACACAAATTACATTTGTCTAGAACTAGAATTTTATGTTTCCTATAAAATTTTCCAAATTTCCATTTGGCAAAACTCAACATGAAAATACATATTTTTAAGGAAACTTTATAAGCAGCCACCTTTGACTGTTGGGAATAGTGCCACTATGACCATAGGAGTCAAGACCCTGCTTTCTTTTTGGGGGGGCGGGTACCGGGGCTCGAATTTGAGACCTTGCGCTTTTGAGGCAGGTGCTAGAACCACTGAGCTAAATCCCCAGCCCCCCTGTTTTCACTTCTGTTGGGTATATAACCAGAAGTGGAATTGCTGCATCACACAGAAAATGGATTTCTCATTTTTAAAGGAGCAGCCATATTGTTTTTCTGTGGCAGCTGCATCATTTTAGTCTCAGTAGTACAAAGCACTCCAGTTTCTTCACATCCTTGACATTTGATATCTTTTTAAAGAAGATATACTAATGGCTACAAGGTAATATCTCATTTTGGTTTTGGTTTAAATTTGACAAAGCCTAATGTCTTCGTTACTTTTCTTGTTGCTGAGGCATAATACCCACCATCCACTGTTAAAGGAGAAAAGGTTATTTTAGTTCACAATTTGTAGAGGTTTCAGTCCACGGTCAACTGACGCCAAGGCAAGGTAATGTAATTATACATAGGTATGTTAATTAGATATCTTATAGGTGTCAAATAAAAAAGAGCTGAAAACCAACCAAGACCAGACCCAGCCACAACAAGCTTTTATTGCAGGGACAATCTGCCGGACTATCTCTGAACAGAGACAAAAGCAATATGGCCGGGACAGGGAGTGGCTTTT